AATGACTTTATATCAAGTTAATCAATTAATGAAACATCTTTCATATATCATTAATACATTTCAATATCATTGAGACCTTGTTATATTACAAATGTATTAGTAATAATTAATTGCAGTGAGAAATTCGATGACAAGCAGTGATTACCGTGACACCTAATCTTTATTACTTAAAACGTTTACTGCAGGAGCCAGCGGAGGTATTGTATACCACAGGGAGCATTTTTATGCCCAATGCGTTGTAGTGTCATATTTTATAAGTTAATGCCTGGTATAACTACTCGTAAACCTAGGAGGGTAGGAGCTACGCTCTTGACGATTACATAGAGCAACTAAAGTTGAAGAATTTATCGCTCAGCATGTACCGAGTGACGATCCTATTTTTGTATTCTTCTTGTGACTTCTGGCGCATTCTTGTGTCAGATCAGAATGACCCACTCTTCACAAAGGAGCAAGCGTAGAGGTTGCAGGGATAATATTGAGATAGGTGTCTTTTCATAAGTGTGTCACTGCAACGTGTTACTCTAAGTGTAAAGTATAGGACATACTTTAAAGTGTACGTCTTTCCTTAAAGTATAGGACTTACTTAAATCTGTTCAATTCATTTTATTTTCATTTCATTTTTCCATTTGTAGATATTTTCATTTCTTTTGGAAATCATAAAGTTGTCTAATTGTTCTTGTTGTTTTTATCGTATTGTCTGCTGTTGTCCGTCCATCCTGTGACACATGTTTATCTGTTTAAATTGAGTTGGGCGGGCTTTAGAAAGTATAACAAAAACAGGTGAAGAAATTTTAGATTGATTTAGATAATTACATTTGTTTCTTTATGACAAGAAATGACGGTTTGTTTTTATTTTAGATGTATTTTTTCTGTTTGCATGCTTATATACATCAATTTGTCCATAACAGTATATATTTTGTAATTAAAATATTCAAACAAAATGTGCTACCTTACCAATAAAAATCTTAACAAGAGCCATGTCAACATGGTCATCCCTCGCCGAAAATGTTTGCTCATTGGATGAATATATATGTTGTAGAGCAGAATAATTCAATTTTAAGAGGTCTTTTGGCAATGAAAACTGATGGCTGAAGTGATGTGAATATATATATGTGGCTAAAAATAACAAAGGGCCATTACTGAAAAATAATGCAGGGTAGGTTATCATTCTTGTGTGCTTCACTCCTCCTCTATGAGACCTATCCACCTATGAAGTTTCATGTTGATACCTCTAACACTTTTGAGATAAGCTCCGGACAAAAAGTATGCAAATTAACAAAGGGCAAAACTCTAAAATAATAATGGGAATAGTGATTGTTCTTGTGCAAGGCATTCCTTCTCATTAAGATCTATCCACCTATGAAGTTTCATGTTGACTTCTCAAAGACTTTTGAGTTATGCTCCACTCACTTGAAAAAGTATGTATGAAAAATAACAAAGGGCAATAATTCAAAAATTGTGAATGGTAGAGTTATTATTCTTATGCACTGCACACCTCCTGAGTGAGATCTATCCACCTATGAAGTTTCATGTTGATATCTCATAAGCTTTTTGAGTTATGCTCTGGACAAAAATTTAGTTTCAAAAATAACAAAGGGCAATAACTTAAAATTATGCAGGGTAGAGTTATCATTCTTGTGCACTGCACTCCTCCTTAATGTGACCTATCCACCTATGAAGTTTCAAGCTACCTCAAATACTTTTTGAGATATGCTCCGGACAAAAATATCGGACGGAAGGACGAACGGACGAGACTATTTCTATATCCCCGCTGTCTTTCGGCGAGGGATAATTATAAAACGTACAGTCGGATAAACGTTATTATGGTTGTTAAGTGGCCGTGTAAACAGTTTACATTCTTGCTACCCGTGACAACTCTTGTTTAAAACTTTATATATGTCTTCTTGATTATGGTTTACAGTCGGTGACTAAGACCCTAACTCTAGCATTAACTCTCACTGAATAGTTCCACTCAGTAAACATAAATAAATAATAATATTATCCAGGGTTTTGTTCTACTATCCAGCATTGTGAAAAGTCAAAAAGCGAAATTCCACATGGACTGCATTGCCAACAGTTTTGCTTGACCGTTTAACTGTTAAATTTGTTACAAAAACTGTACTTGCTTTGTTTTGTTGTTGTTGTTTTTTTTGTTGTTGTGGTTGTTTTTTGTTTTTTTAGGGGGGGTTAGATTATCATTTCTGTTGCACAAAAATATAAACATATACTAAAAGTACACAAAAATGTCTTTGCATCCCCTTTATTTTTCTCCAATCAGCCTAAACGAAATAAACCACAATAAAACCAAATGATACATCATAATTATATTTCTCTCATAAAACATGGTATAAAACAGAACATTAACTTACACATAGAGAAATGATAAAATCACAAAGATACCTCAACAACGCAATGTGTGTGAAATAAATGTAAATCATCACATGAATCAACATCATTATTGTTTATATAAAAGACAAACATAATTTTCCAAAAAAAAAAAATGAAACATTACTTTCCTAGATTGTTTTCAAAAAGTTACTGCTCATGATTCACATTGACATATTTCTTTTTATAAAAAAATATTTTAAGCATCTAAAGCTGCATCCAGGTACGCAAACATATTTAAAGCAAAATAAAAAAAAACTTTCAAGATTAAAGTAATATTTTACATCTTATGTTGTATAAATAACACATTTTATAGTATTTATCACCGTATTAAAAACGCAGAATGGGCTATTTTAAATAACAAAACTATACATTTTGAGACAGGAAACTGATCTATAACACTGTCAAGTATAGTTTTGAAGATTTAAGCAGTGATTTTTGTGGTGTTATCTGGGAAGAATCTATGATATCCCCCCAAGTTTTGCATTTTGATGACAGAATTCCTCTAGTATATCATTTTGATGATAAAATCCCGCAAGTTTAGCATTTTCATGATAGAATTTCTAACGTTTATCATTGTTTATCTGTTTTGATGATAAAGTCCCTCAAGTTTAGCATTTTGATGATAAAGTCCCTCAAGTTTAGCATTTTGATGATAAAATCCCTCAAATTTAGCATTTTGTTGAAAAAATATTTCAAATTAAGCATATTGCTGAAAAAATCTGTTGCATTAACAATTGACGTTTTCAATTTCAAAGATGAACCAATATAGGGTATGTTAGTCTCGTCATGTGATCTCCTAGATTTTACGATACTTCTAGCTTCCGGGTACAAATACAAGTTTAACAGGTTACGTATGATAAACTAAATGTTTTATATTCGCATGACAAGTTATACATATTTTTGTAGTTATTAATGTATGGATATATGTATGGTAATTTTCCTTTTTAAATCAGTAAGGTTAAGAAAGTGTCATGGAATAAAAAATGAAGAAAATATTAAAATCTGCAAACAAAGTGATCGCTCGGAAGCATTAATCACAACAAAATTACATGAACATTGCATTGTGCATGAAGGTTAATGATTAAATGCAACATCCCTCACGCCCCCAAACACCGGATTGAGCTGTACTTAAGAGAGGTACTCAATTCTCAACACTTTATAGTGCTGGCATCAATGACCCCAAAGGACCGGAAAAATAAAACAACACTGAAGTGAGTACGGGGCAATTTTTTTACAGCTGCCACACAGCACTTGACACCTTATGATTTACAGAAAATAAGTAACTTACAATAACAATTAGTTAACCTTTTAGAATTTGATATAATTGTTTTCACCTTTTACCATTGTCATGCTATATACCAGTTTCTGGTATTTCATGATTTTCTCTTTGAAACACGCATTATCAGAACAGTGGTCCCCCACATGGAAGTGATCCTATGAGTATTGCTAATGTTCGGGCAGTCACTAACTTTATCGAGAAAAACATGTACGAATCTTTGAGGAAATCTGTTTGGTTAAATTACTATCGCCATTTACTACTGCGAGATCTCATTTCACAGGTAAAAGATGATTTGAGCCGCGTCACGACAAAACCAACGTTATGCGTTTGTGACCAGCATGCATCTGCGCAGTCTGATCAGGATCCAGGTTGGTTAGCGAACAGCATGGATCCTGATTAGACTGCGCGGAAGCGCAGGCTGGTCTGGATCCATGCTGGACGCAAATGCATAACGTTGGTTTTGTCGTGACGCGGCTCATTTAACGTTTTACACTTAACTCTAAGCAACAGAATTTACACACTTTTACTCAATTCACCAGAGTCTGCTTGCATTTAAAATTGATGTTCATTCTTTCATGGAGCTAAATATTTGTTTATATATCTGTGATTCTTTCAAATACTTTCAATCCGCTAAAAAGGTACAAATGCAGCGGGAAATATCCCACCCTGGCTAGGACTCAAAGTGTGATTTAAAAACTTACAAAGTAAAAATGTTCAAGGCCACTTAGATAGAGAAAATCAGAATCCCTGAAGAAAGTTTAACACGGCATAAATTGAAAATGTTGCAGGATGGTTTGATTGAGCCTGTTCACTAAGCAAAAGAAAGCTAACAGAGGTTGTACTTACAGTTACTTATGAAGGAATATGTGCACAATTTGTGGAGTATACTCTTGTTAAAATTTGAAGTGATACAGTTTCTATGAATACATGTATATTTAATATATTTAGTGCTCACAAAATACTTCCTTGATGTACATGTATTTAGATTTTGACAATTCTACATTGTCGCAATTCAGTTCTTGACAAAACGTAATTGTATTTAAGTTATACACCCGTTATACTAGATTGTACATGCTGTTGATAATTTAACATGATTGTACCATGTAAGGTACTGAATTCATAAGGCCTGTAAAATGTAGTACATTCTGTATCAGACTCCATAAAAAGGGTTTTAAAATTGTCTGCCAATATTTAAGAATAAAACCAACATCTTAAGTTTCCATTTTTTTTAATGTAAGACATGATGGCTGAATAGAAGATGAAAGTAGTCTGTGTATTTCATCTATAATTGGCGTGTATCACTTCCATGTTTTAATGTTTCTATTTTAGGATCAGAGTCATATGCAGATTGTTGGAGAGTTTTACACTGTATGGCTGGACAAATAGAATATGTTGTTGGTAATCATATTAGATACTGGATTTTTGTTTTGTTAATTCTTATTGCATAAGGCCAGAAATGAAACAACTTATTATGAATTTATCATTTTGAGGGTCATCATTGATTAATGACCTTTGCCACCTCTATAGACAAGACTGAACAGACATTAAAGAACAATCTTAACAGACTTGCAGTTTGACTAGACCTTATAAAGCCATCTGACCAGTCTTAAAAAAATCGTCTGAAATTCACTTCAGTGTTGTTTTATTTTTATGGTTGTTCGGGATTATTATCGGCACATTTAGTCTTGACGATTAAATAAAGCTTAAAAATATGCTTTTGGTTGCTATAGGTTCAAAACTTGGCAGGGACTTCAGATCGTTCCATGTGAGGTAGTTGTTTAGCTAAGGGAATGTAAGTGTTTTTTTAGGTGGCTGTTTGGTCCAAAATAATACATGAAAAAGTTCTTTCTCTATGAGTGAAGCTGGACAATTGCCATATGGCCTTCATAGTGCAATGCAAACTGTGAGAGAAAGTAAATAAGTTGCCATAATTATATTTGTGCATGCAGGAAATGGATTTATTGTACATGTTGTGGGTTCATGCATAACTCAAGCTGCAATTTTTTCTCATCCAGCTCTAATTTTCTATGGTTAACCTTGATTTCCATTATTTTTATACATGTACATGTATATGTTTCACCAGGAATGATGGAGGTTTTACAAGATTTAGTACTGACCTGTCTACAGACTGGAGTAGATGACAAGAAACAGACAAGTAGGCAAGGTAGCAGGGGCAGCTCACAGGGTAAAGGTCGTAAGGTAAAAATACTTCCTTTAATGATGTCTACAGGTGATTAAGTTAGGACCTATAATTTGTCTTTTTAGCCCATTACTGCATGAGCATGCTGTTTTCATTGAAAAGTCTCCCGTTACAAGTTTAAATTGCTATAAAACTATAAAAACTGCTTCAATACAAATCAGACTTGGCACAAATGTTGACTGGACCATTATCTTTGTAACAATATGCTCAGTCTTAAATTTCCTGTTACCATGGCAACGAGGGGACAAAAATCACTATTTTGCATTGATCTTTTCCATCAAAATTGATTTCAAAGTGCTGCAACTATTCAATGGATTGAGATAGAGTCAAAGGCTTTTCAGCGTTGGTTACACGTTTCCTTATGATCCACTTTGGGTCCTTTTTAGCCTCTCACATGTCCAAAATTTTCTTGGCGATGTGGGAAACTGCCGCCCTCCTTGAAAGCCCCTCCCCCCAAACAGAAGTGGGGCACATCCCTCTTCTTGCAACCCCCTGATGTATCTATGTTAATACAGTTTATATATATATATATATATATATGCCTCATTTCTGGTGCTTTTTATTTCTTTAAACGGAATCATACATTGGCATAACATGACTGTGAATTAAATGTGTATAAATTTATTGTCACTGACAATGGTAACATAACATTTAAATCAAGCATTTTTATTTGTTTGGGTCATCAGACCAAACAAATAATGGCAGCGACATTTCAGACCCTGATGCTGTTAATTGCAAATGCCGAAAGTAGTCCGCTTTTTTGAAGCGGTTACTTCCCTTTATATGTACACTAACGCCGAAAATTTCAGGGGAAATCACTGCGTAAAGATTGTCAAATGACAGGCGCAAAATAGTTCCCGAATGGTCGAAGATTTCTAATATTGTTTTATTCTTTATAGATGTACATGCTTATAGTTAGCTCCATGATTATTTACATCTGTGTTAAACAACAGGTTTAGCGTCGAAATAATAAGAGTTACAAACCCTAATTTAGAATGATATGGTTTTCTTCAGGCCTTTGACATATAACTTCACCGTGGCCAAGGGGTTTGCATGCTCGCTTAGAAATCGAGAGGTCTGGAGTTCAAATCCCAGTTGAGGCAACTCATTTTTAAAAAAAAAATTTAAGTGAAATAAACATTGAATTGAATACCAGTGTTGCAATTAGTCTTATAGCCAATTTACTACAGTAAAAACACCGGAAAGCATTGGTGGCACTATACAAAAACAAATTGGTTTATAATCTCACAACCTTCACCTTTCTGACATTCTGAGACCCAAACAAATTCAGCGCCTTCTGTGCTTAGATTTATGCAAAGTGATATAAGTACTTTTATTTTTAGCTAGACTGTTTGGAAGAAAAAGTTGAGCTATTAACAATGATTGCTGTGGCATTGTCGTTGTTACCTTTAAGTGAATACTTTAGCCATTATTCCAACATTGCAAAAGTTATAAACTTGAAACTTGGAAAAATTTTGATTTTTTTTTCATTATGATAAGATGCATATTAAGTTTTAAACAAGGGGCATAACTTTGAAAGCTATATTACTGGAGTTATGCTCCTTTTTAACTTAGAATTTTGTCAAAATAGTTGTCATCAGAATTTTGTCAAAATAGTTGTGATCCAGATCTCTGCAAATAAGGGTTTTTCCAAGCTAATACTGGTACAAACTTTTACTTTAATGGAACACAGCCTTTTTACAATATATAAGTCATCCATTTGCGCTAAGTTCCGAAGCTGTAACTATAAAAATTTGTTTGTACCCGCTTGTCTTTGTTTCAATACAGAATGTAGTAGAACAATCAGCTGTTACTAAGATGGTGATGGCGTTCTATCAGAAACTGATGTATGTATGCGAGGCAAGGTTAACAATGGCTGCAAGGTCACTAACAGATTATATAGAGAGTAAACTAAAGTCTGCCCTCGAGTTTGACCCAGATTCTGGACAACCATATCTTGCTATTGAAGATCAGGTAAATGAAAGAAAATTTTAAAAATATTTATTTTGTGCATTTTATTTTTTTTTTAATTAAGAAATGGTCAAATTGGTTTTCTTTAGTCTATATTCCATATGTTTTATGTCAGTCATTTTGAATATTAATGTAAGTAAGTTGTTGAGTTTACCAGTTCATTAACCATGGCATAAATTTTTTGGCCCTTTTTTTAAAAGGTTAAATTACTGCCTCATTTTTTTTTTATTTCACCTTTCTTTATTTTTTTTTTCACTTTATTTTTTTGTTCATTTCATTTCATTTTTGATAAATTTTTTTAAAAAAATTTAATTTTTTTATTTAATTTGTTTTTCTTTTTAAATTACTTTTATTTCCAGTCTTTGAAAACTTTAGTTTATGGGGCCCTTTTTTTAAAAGCTCTTCAAGGCCCGTATTCAATATACATTTTAAGATTTTTTTTAACCTTTCATGGTCATTTCCAAAGATTTTTTAAAGATAAGATATTTATTAAAGGAAAAAAAAGGATGTTTATTAAATGTTACTTTTGATTTTCCGTACAAAAATCGTTGATTTGAAGATTTTCTTATTCATAAGATAATATTTAAAGATAAGATAACCTTAAGAGGTATATTAAATGAATTTAAATCAATACAGGATTGGAGCAGTACTGCTAGACGCTTGCATTTATTTTTGCTGATTCTTACATTTTTCATTCATATATAAATGGGTATGAAGAGATGACTTAAGCATTTTAAAGTTCATTTTTTTAGGTGAAAAGGCGAGATTTTAGCATTTAATTAACAAGCAACTTGTCCAGTTTTACCGGAATACGTTATTTAGTCTGAGTTATATTGAATACCCCTGAGAACTGGTATTATCATAGCCAGCTTGATAATTAGAAAATACTTGACTTGACTGGAGTATTATCATTTCCAGCTTGATAATAAGATAATACTTGACTTGACTGGAGTATTATCATTCCCAGCTTGATAATAAGATAATACTTGACTTGACTGGAGTATTATCATTCCCAGCTTGATAATAAGATATTACTTGACTGGACTGGAGTATTATCATTCCTAGCTTGATAATAAGATAATACTTGACTTGACTGGAGTATTATCATTCCCAGCTTGATAATAAGATAATACTTGACTTGACTGGAGTATTATCATTTCCAGCTTGATAATAAGATAATACTTGAGTTGACTGGAGTATTATCATTTCCAGCTTGATAATGAGATATTACTTGACTGGAGTATTATCATTCCCAGCTTGATAATAAGATATTACTTTACTTGACTGGAGTATTATCATTCCCAGCTTGATAATAAGATATTACTTGACTTGACTGGAGTATTATCATTTCCAGCTTGATAATAAGATAATACTTGACTTGACTGGAGTATTATCATTTCCAGCTTGATAATAAGATAATACTTGACTGGACTGGAGTATTATCATTCCCAGCTTGATAATAAGATATTACTTGACTGGAGTATTATCATTCCCAGCTTGATAATAAGATATTACTTTACTTGACTGGAGTATTATCATTCCCAGCTTGATAATAAGATATTACTTGACTTGACTTGAGTATTATCATTCCCAGCTTGATAATAAGATATTACTTGACTTGACTGGGGTATTATTTATTTCAGTCAATATTTCGACTAGAGGAGATGAAAAGTATAATGAGGATATTCCAGGACACGTTGAGCGGGGATGTCAGGAGTGTATGCCAGAAAGTAGAGATTAAATATCAACCAAAGAGGCTTCAAACACCACAGATGAAAGTGGGAGAGTCATTCAAGAAGAAAACCCCTCGTACACCTGGAACTAGAGGCTCTATAGGTCAATCCAGGTATGATTCATTGTTAACGGACTTTCATTTTATGATATCATGTCCATTTAGGTTGATTCTTGATTCAAAGAAAATCTCACATTTTTTTTTCAATTGTGTAATAAAACATGCACTACATTGCACTCGGAAGTGGCCACAAATAATTTAATAGTAATTAATTAATTATAGTAAATCATTGTAAGGATAGCCTTGCTCTTTAGTGGAGCATAGAATAAGATCTGTCATTACGGCACCTAATTTACTAGGAGGTAAATTTTTATTTTTCTCAAGCAAGCCATCTAGATCTTATAATCCACATATGACGAATAATATGACAATCATGTACAGCAACCATGTGTACTATGATTTACAATATACTATATAAGATATCTACATGTGTATATGTAGAAAGGAAAGGTTTGACTCATTGCAGAAAGATATTCCACATTTCATTTTCTCTTGTGAAATTCTGCTCATTGTTTTTTGATATCATTGCCTTTTCCCCCCTCAGATTTTAAGAACTTCACAAGTTAGTATGTAATTTTTGTTTCATTAATTGATATTTTGATTATACGATTATATTATGTTAAGTAATTTTACTTCAATTTTATTATTTTTATCCTATTTAACTTTTATTTTAATGTTTTACATTTATCTCATTCATTGATATTTTACTTTTATTTCATTAATTGATATTTTACTTTTTTTCATTAATTGATATTTTACATTTATTTCTTAAACTGATAATTTACTTTTAATTTATTAATTGATGTTTATACTTTTTATTTCATTAATTGATATCTTACTTTCATTTCTTTTAACTGATATTTTGCTTTTTTCTTTAACTGATATTTTACTTTTATTTCTTTAACTAATATTATACTTTTTATTTTAGTAACTGATATTTTACTTTCATTTTTTAATGACATGTAGTATTTTACTTTTATTTCATTGATATTGATTGATTTTTATTAATTGATATTTCACATTTTACTTCATTAACTGTTAACTTTTATTTTTACATGAACTGATATTTTACTGTTTATTTCATTAAATGATAGTTTTGTAATTTACCTGTTTTCATTAATTGATATGTATGTTACTTATAGTTTTTTATATTAATTGAATTTTTACTTTTTATTTCATTAATTAAAATTTTACTTTTCTTTCATTAATTGAAATTGTACTTTTCTTTCATTAATTGATATTTTACTTTCATTTCATCAAGTTATTTTAGTTCCATCTATACATGTATACATATATTTAAAACATAAAATACAAACATGAAATATATAAAATACATCAATACAATGTTTATATGTTATAGAGGAAGTATGGACCAGCCACTAGATCCATAACTGACACAACCTGATGTCTACCATCAGACATCCAGCCCCCAAAAGTGTACCCTTTCGGGTCCCCCTTTGAAAACCCCCCAGACTATTACGGGGGACCAAACCTGAAAAACTTTGGGTGGGAAAATTCAAAAAAAATGTTTAAAATTGTTCCTCGTTTATGTTACATCAGTTTTGATTGTTTGCTGCATGAAATTTAAAGGAGAGGGTTGATTTATAGGGGACGGCAACTAAAACCCTTCCAATTTAAAAACCTGATTTTTAGTTATCAAACAGGGGAATTGAAAAAAACAAGTTTCATGAAAAAGGGGACCCCCCAATGGCAAATTTTTATCCCCTGAAAAATTTGGTTTTTTTCATTTCCCAGGGTGTATATCCCCTTTTAAACAGGGTGGTAAATTTAATTAAATTAATCCCCCTTGGTCCACCCAAAAATACATTTTCTGTGGGAATGTGTAAATTGGGGGGTTTTTCCCCCTT